TGAGTCAGTCAGTCAGTCAGTGAGTGACAAAATTAAGAAACTTTGATCCGTTATAATTCTTAAACTGCTGGTTCAAATTGAATGAAATTTGAAATATACTATGTCTTTACAATGCCTGCATGGATACTGAAAATTCAGTCTTCTAGTTTTATCCACAACGAAGTTACAGGCGGTCGAAAATGGCCTGAATTGCTTCGAGAAAAGGATAGTACGGCCGTGCCGCTTTTTTGCTCGACTTGGTGCGAGAAAATGATACAGTTTGATAGAGATCTCTTTCAAACTGTATCATTTTCTCGAGGAGGTTTTCGACTTACTTTTGACAACTTCAACCGAACGTCAGGGTACTCATCTAGCCGTGTAGCATGACTGTATCAAGTGCATACATAGACACGAGCCCGCTGCGAGTGAAGTAGGTACCTGGATGCGAGCAAATCAGGACCGGTTATTATGGAAATCCTTGGGGGAGGCCTTTTTCCAGCAATGGAAGTCATTTGGCTGAATCGAACAAAAACGACTAACTTCTCGACGTTTTAATTAGTGCTACCGTGGGTGTGTCGCGTCCACATACTGTTTGATTACCTACGTTGTTACAGCTGTTAGTTCTTGTGCATATTATATTAACTACAGTGGCCGAACGTTGCATTTCGCTGGAGGGCGGCGCCCACGCGGTTTTAAAGAACACACTGGTTTGAGCAAACGCCCGCCCACATCGGTGTAAGGTTACATACAGTGCTTTTGTTTAATCACCTTTATTATACCTAAAACGGGAATTATGTAGGTATTATTTTGAGGCTTTGTTTAAATTATATTTTATGCATTTAGCTCTATAAAATGGACTATTCGGAGAAAACGGTCGCTTTAATCTCTTTCAACAGTTTATGAGTCTAACGAGGTCGTATTTATTTACTATGATTATATAAAATAAGATATCAGGAAAAATATTGTAATAAAATTAATAAAAAAATGAGTTGTCGACCACAGCAACTTGAATTTCGATTCGTTTAACCGTTTAGATTGTTTGACAAATACGAAACTTGGGAACGTCTCAAAGCGATCACAATCGCGAATTGAGAGTGAAGTGTCAGCCTTTTTTTAAGTAATTGATATTTATCAGCTACTTAAATAAAAAACGCCTTACGAGACAAATACCAACTTTAAGTAAGTAATACCTTTTGTTTTATTTTTCAAGTCAGTCACATTTTTTCATAGTGTCCTTAGTTTTAATGGAGAACTTTCAATACCTAGACTACCCATGATCTATTTTCTACATAATCCATTCAACTAATCAAATAAATCCATCCACAAGAAACCCAGTAACATTTTGGTGGAATTCGGCTGACTCCGAGAGCGGTGTGATTTATCTCCACGACATAAATATATGTCGCTCCTCCCAGCTGTCAATTACGAACCCTTTGGAGCCCTATGCCTTCCCTAGGACTTGCTAGAGGTATGTATATACCGTGCCAATGAAACTGGAAAGTCAATAACTTTTTAAAAAAATAAAACCGACTTCAAATGCGTGAACACAAAAAAAAACTAAAAATTGAAAATATTGCGTATAAAAAAGTTCATCCCCAATTTTCCACCCTTGGGGGTGAAATATTTTCTTCAAATTCGCATGAAACCACCCTTTTGATAATACCCATTCAACAAAAAAATAATCGTTCAAATTGATTTATAATCGGCGGAGATATTGCGTATAAAAAAGTTCATCCCCAATTTTCCACCCTTGGGGGTTGTTTTTTCTATTATTAAATTGAAATGGGACCACCCTTGAGGTATTACCTATACGCCGAAAAAAGATTTGTTCAAATCGGTTCATAATTGGCGGAGTTATCGCGTAACAAACATAGAAAAAAAAAAAAACATACGGGTCGAATTGAGAACCTCCTCCTTTTTTGAAGTCGGTTGAAAATATACTTAAACCAGAACATTGGCACCGAGCTGTCTATGTAACATTTATCTATCTAGTGATTTGAGTATTTAATCCTATATTTTACTGCAAAGTAACGTAATTAAAATAAGGATATTGTGTGTGACAGTAAAATCTTTATTGGAGTCAATTTTTATCATAATAAAACAATTTTCGAGAAGGTAATCTGTGATTTCCAACATTAGTGAATTCTTTCTCTTTTCATAGCAACTTATATTTTTACGGTCTGTGATAAATGTGGCATCATTGTAACTAGAATAAAATCGAAGAATTTAATTTTACAAAATTAATCGCCCAGTGTTTTAGCCTCGGGGACTATAAAGTAGCCGAAAAGCTCCATAATTCTGTAGTAATTACCTACCTCCCTGATCAAAAACCCCAATCGAGCGCAACTTTTGTGAAAAAACTTGAGAAGTAAGCAAAAGTCCTGTCTTTCACGTAAAATCGACAAAGGAGTCTACAAGTTCAAAGGAATAAGGAAACAAAAAGATTTATAATTTGCGTAGTAACCTTGATTTTAAAAATAAGGATCCCCTTTGTTTGTGCAATAGTGACTGAGTTTCTTGCGCTGCTTCTTCTTATTATTGGCCCATTTATTGTCCTGTAGTGGTAGGGTTAATACTGGGACGTGTAAAAGTGCTTTATAAAATAAGTATTTAAATGAGTTGCGTAAATAAAGAGTTTTTTATTTGAGATGGCTTCTTGGTCTAGTAATAAATCTTATTTGGACTAAATGTATGGAAGCTGGAAATAGTGAATTTTCGGATAGATCTAGTTAATTCTGTAACCTATTATTGATATCGTTGGATAGAGCTCGTAAAGCACTTTCAGGATCAGAAAAAGAAACTCGATTATTTCTAAAATATAGGTACCTGTATAGTTTAGAAATAATCGAGTGAGATCACTTATCGTTTCCACCCTGTATAGAGCATCAAACTGTCCCAAACATTCCATTCTTATGTAAGTATAATTGTATTGAGCAGACCTGCGTAGACTAATAAAGTTTTCATAATTAGTATTATAATTATTATCATCCACAAAATCTGAGTCGCAAATCACGATCTTCATTGCAGAAGTAATAAAGTGTGCAACGCAACGTTATTTGTACTAAAGATATAATTGCCGCCAATAAAAAGGCGGTAAAACACAAGTGTCCAGGTTCCCGCGAAGTTTATTTTTAATTCCGGGAGTCGTGGCCATGGTTGGCGCGGTTTGCGCAAGTTATAAGTTGTGAAAATCCTATCTTTTGTTGCACCACAAAGGAATATTGTCAAGTTCGGTTTAGGGGTGTGGAAATTGAAAATCACAAATGTAATATTTTGTAACAGGTAAATTATGCAGGTATAATCAATTTACAAGTCCCAATTTTAGTAAAAGCAAGCACCTATCTAACGATTCATTCAATGTTCTTGAAATGGATTTTTTTTTAAATAGTTAAATACTTAAGCTTAATAATAAAACAAAAATACTTAACTTATGCTCTTTTGGTCACTGAATATTTTAGCTTTTAGTTTTTTCCACAACGAAGTTACGGTACAATGAGGTCCGCTTCAAGAAAATAATAGTACTGCCGTGCTGCTTGCTCTTTTGCTTGACTTGGCATTCTCCCAGATAATACTTAGTGAAAATCGAAAACAGTTAATCTTTTTGAGAAATTATTGAAACTTTTTCATATTAGTAAGTGAGACAAACCCCGAAGAAACTAGCTATTTCATTTTAAGACTAGTTAGAGTTTACCAGTCAAAATAACCACCGCAATATAAATGTAACAACGTGGATATTTCCCGCGAGCAAACTGAACAATACGAAGATGTGATCGTTTTAATTGCTAGTGTAATAGACTTGCAGCTAGGGTTTCTGATTTCTCGACCTATTTTTTTTTCTCGAGTTTCGGGAATTCTCGAGGCGAAAGTCTCGAGTTTTCTCGGGTCTCGAGTCTTTAAATTAAAACTGTTGAAATCGGTTGAAATTTAACAAGAACACAGGTTTTTTAATCTAATATACCTACTTTAATGCACAACAATCAATATTAGAATTTAGTACCACTTATTTTGGTAAGAAAACAAACAAAAAATGAAATCTTCTCTCATAATTAATATTAACTAATAATCATAACTTAGTTATTAACTAAAGGAACAAAAGTCATAAAGTCGCGTGTACTTTAAGGATAAATAACATTAAAAAATCTGGAGCTACAATTGAATCACTTGTTTTCACTTCACACAAGTACAAATAGCAAAATTACGAAAAATAGTTTATTTTTATAACCAAAAAAACACTTTTTAATATTTTTTTAAATTTCTTTAGAATAACGACTTGAATAAACTTTACGAGGAGGCACAAGTACCTAACCTAACAGACAGTTAACAAATTTTTCGGTCTTTAAATCAGTCAGAGTTAAACATACATAATAAATAGGTATAGCATACTCGTAGGTAAACATTATTACTTAGTTTCGATTGAGATCATTAATTGCAAATCAAATCAGTTAAAAAAGGAAGACTAGACCAGTCTAAAAGCAACGTTAACCTATTAAATAATTAAAAACTTACTTTTGTCTAAGAAAACAGGCTTTCAAGACTATTAAAGCTTCAAAATCGAAACTCGAGAATTCTCGAGCTCCGGTATTTTTTTTCTCGTCTCGAGTGAAGCCAAATTTCTCGAGTTTTCTCGAGTTCGAGAAGGCTCGAGCAGAAACCCTACTTGCAGCTCTCCCCTGTGTGTGGTTTTCTCTATTGGAGAGTACAACATAATATTCATATATATGTACTTCTAATTTCCAATTTCTAAAGATCATAACGTACTGCTCGTTATTCGAAAGTTAGCAAAAAGTTAATTAATTAATATCTATATATACAGGGCGTTAGGTAAATGGGTATACGAGCCGACACTACCCCATGATAACATGGGCATATAAATGGTATGGTGAAGTCAGAAATTTGATATCATCACTTATTTTTTTTTAATTTTCATCCAAAATAAATTTTATAAAATCAGATTTGTATGAAAATTAAAATAATTAAAATGAAGATATCAATTTTCTGACTTCACCATACTATTTATATGCCCATGTTAACATGGGCTAGTGTCGGCTCATATACCCATTTACCTAACACCCTGTATAAAAGAAAGTCGTGTTAGTTACTCCACTTATAACTCAAGAACGGCTGAACCGATTTAGCTGAAAATTGTCAGGGAGGTAGCTTAGAGCCAGGAGAAGGACATAGGATACTTTTTATCCCGTTCGAAATTAAAAAAAAGTCTGCTTATTTATTGCCATTAAGGCGGAACAAAGTTCGCCGGGTCAGCTAGTATTTTCTAAATATGAAAATATTGAAAGACAAACAATTTAATTGATAGTAATTAGTATTGATTAATTAATGATTAGTAGATAGTTACCATTGCTATTTACCGAAAATAAAAGACACTTTTTTCACCAAACCGCCTTTCAAAAATCGTAGTACTCCGGAAATTTCAGCCTACAAATATAATTTTTATTTTCTGAACTTTCTCGCGTTTCTTAAAGTATTTAAAGAATTACAGTTTGTAATTTAATTAATGAAAAGACTGCCTTTTCTTAATCCAAAAGTGCCAACCCTAGTCAATCCAAGCGCACACTTTATTACCTACACTTAATTGGGGCGCATCACTTCTTACTCCGTTTGCACACTTCATTCCAAAACCAATCTTAACCAACTGCACTAAGATTTAGTTTCTACTAGCCAACTTGGTCAAACTCTACATTTACCTCGACTTTTATTTTGGACCTTACTTCTACTATTCAAGGTTGATAATTCCCTAAGCAGGTGTGAAGTTAACTTCGTGTGTTTCTAATAAGCGGTTTTGAACTTTATTTCTTTGTGTTAAGGTCGATGTTTTGTTGTTTGTAGGAACCGTTTAACACAAAGCGACATGTGCTGCGAATGGCGGATAGTGGGCCGCTTCAGTTTCAGCGGGCAATTAGTTTTTTGGGCTAATTAATAGTAACTGGGTACAGAAGTACATGAGACTACAGTTTTGTTGCATAGTCGCCTTTATTACAAATACATAAGATGCTGATGCACAAGGTGGACCGACGACATCATAAAGGTAGCAGGAAGGCGCTGGACGCAGGCCGCTACCAACCGGGCAACATGGAAAGCATTGGGGGAGGCCTATGTTCAGCAGTGGACGTCCTATAGCTGAGATGACGATGATGATGGTGAAGATGCTACTGTTTAGCTTAACGTGCCATTGTTCATACTATAGGTAGGGACAATCAACGTCAAAAAGTTCGTGACACCCTAAGTGGCCAAAAAAGTTGAAACACAACCTTATTCCATTGTAATAAAGACGTGTTGCGAACTTTTTGGGTTCTTTGGGTGTCAGGAACTATTTTACGCTGACTGTATTAGGTACAGTCAGTACATCAGATTATAAAGTTTGTTGCATAATCACTGAATATTACTACTCTATGAGATGCCAGTATAACGCAACGGAAAACGCAGCGTGGGTCTTCCACAAGGTGAACCGAACCAATTAAAAGTAGCAGGAAGGCGCTGGATGCAGGCCGCTAACAAACGGGCGATGTGGAAATTATTGGGGGAGGCCTATATTCAGCTGTGGACGTCCTGTGGCTGAAATGATGATGATGATAAGATGCCAGTGTCCAGCTTGATATGCCATAGTTCGTATCTACCACACTTTTAACCAAATTATTAATATGGAAGAAATGACGACTACACTGCGGTGTAGCTAAGTTGTTTACTCGTAAATTGCCTTGAACGAGACCCTTAGGTTTAGTTGGCCAAAACAGCAGCCCTTGGCCATTAAAGGGCCTCTGTTCTACATTTCTCCGAAACTATTTTCAAATGTCCGACCAATTCTAGACTCCCCGCCGACTATAGACTTTTAGTCGGCCGATAGCATAGTTGGGCCCGATTCTAATTTATGTGAAGAATCGGCCCATACCAAATCGGTGTAATGTGCGTATACATAATACATGTCCAGTATGTAACTGACCGACTAAACTATCGGCCGACAAAAATTCTGCGGTAGGTAATCTTCTGATTCGCACTCGACATAACTTTTCCGATGCCATGTATTTTATCGATGTCGTATGACGTAGGCAATTTTAAAGCGGACTCAGGGACTATTAGAGACAATAAACGGGACAAATAAAAGTAAAGGACAGCATTTTAGGCAATGAGTCACAACTTAAAACCAGGGTACTTATCTACATTGAAAAAAGAAACGCTACGTATAAAATGGTCGACAAATCTTTCGTACTGTCGAAACAGAGCACATTAGCATCCATTAAAGTCGCATTTAGTTAATACGGTAAGCACCAGCCGCGTTTGAATTTGAGCAAAAACACACTTTTTGTGACCGAGTTTTATTTTGGGGAATATAAAACGTATCCACCACTAACATTATTTACTCGTTTAGTATTAATTTTCTAATTTAAGCATTATCTACATGGGCACCAAGGCCAAACTTACGAGTATGTAGTTATTTTTTAATTGTTTATATTCAATGCTCTGAAACTACTGGGCTGATTTGAAAAATTCTTACACCATTAGTGGCCTTAGCTTCTCTGCTTGACCCGTGGTTGACTGGTAGAGAATGCCACCCGGCATTAAGTCAACCACTGTTCTTTATTTTTGTGCAAAAAGTTTAAATAAATAAATCCTACATTATTTTTGATGAACAAAGGAAGTATACCTACCTACTCTTTTTCATATGAGTGTGTTTTGTGTGAAAAAAGTGAGCGTAATTTTAAAGCAATTGCGCTATTAAATGTCAAAACCATCAATCTTGAACTCTACCTATTTTGATTATCGAAATACATAAGCTTAGACAATTTCACAAAAACGTACGTGAGCTCATTACCCATAACACAACAAAAACCGCGCACTCAAACACCTAATTACGAAGACTACAGCACATTAGCCTATACATTTCCTTTGCAAAATCGCCCTTATTTCGACTGCATAAGATAACAGTGTAAAGCTCAACGTGCTTCCAAAAGCGAGCTACCGTCAAATTGTTCCTCAACACTTTGAGTGGCTGAGTGAAAAGTTGTTCTGCCTATTGTGCCTGTTCAGAAGCACTTTTGTAACATTTTCTCTGAATACTGAACGGGTATGTGGGAATACTAAGATATGGGACACGTTAGCGTCACTTTTACGTACTCTTAGAGGTACTAAAGTAATAATATAATGTTCGGAAAATAACTTCACTTAAAGTTACTTTTTGAGGCACCTTTAAGGGTTAGTTATTAGGGCATTTGACAATATAAGCTTTATTGAAAATTATAAATAACTTGAAAAAATCGAACTGCCTAAGAATTGAACCCACGCCACGCCTCAATCCCGCCGCAGTTCGATTTATACAAGTTATTTATAATTTTCAAATTAGTTTGAGATGCAACTCTTAACGCTCAAAATTAAATAACAATTATAAGCTTAACCAATGCATAGTTTAAGTATCTATTACACACACAAAGTGGACCGACGACCTCGTAAAGGTAGTAGAAAGGCACTAGACACAGGCTGCTACCACCCTGTCAATATGTTTAGCAGTGGAAGTCCTGTAGATGAAATGATGATGATGAGGTATATTTTAGTTTCACTCCAGTATAAGGCCAATAAGTTGGGTTTGAACGTCGTTCCCGAATCATCATCATCATCATTATCATCATTTCAGCCACAGGACGTCCACTGCTGAACATAGGCCTCCCCCAATGACTTCCACATCGCACGGTTGGTAGCGGCGGCCTGCATCCAGCGCCTTCCCGAATGCGGACCTCATATTTAAAGTCTATCTGCTTTACACAACTATAATATTTAAAGATCTAAAGTATACTCACATAGTTCTTTCCCCAGCACCCACGTCTCCGGCTTAGAATTCACTTCCACCAGCACTGTAGGAGTGCACACCAAAAGCACCATCAGGTCCGCAATACTCAGATTCACTAGGAAAATGTTCGTTGAATTCCTCATGTCCTTCGTCTTCAGAATCACTATTGGCACCATCACATTCCCTATCACGCCCAAACACATTATCACTATACAAAAAGTCATCGACGTAGCCTTTATGTAATACGGAATCTCCGCGTACTCCGAATAGTTCCCATTCGACTCGAAACTCGAATTCGAAAAGTTCGCCTCCTCGAAACTCGAATTTTCGAACTCGTATACGAACATCTCGCTATTCTGATAGCCATTTTCGGTTGTGTACGTGAACTGTCTGTGCAACGGTGTGCTAACATTCGTCGTATGTGTGAAGTTGTTTAAAGAAATCATGTGAGAGGCACTCAGTTCATAGTTTCACATTGTTGACGGCTATGACGTCACCATTTTCTTTATACTGCGACCTGGAACAAAAAATGAATGGATTAGTGTCGTCAAAAAGTTTTTGCGCGATCCACGGACTTAGAGCTTTTGAATTGGACACAAAGGAGTTTAGTTCCGTCTAGGTTTTTTAATGTTATGAATGGCCACATAAATTACGTACAATGTCTGCTCGAGACTGTGTTACATAATTTATTGAGTGGCTGTAAGCCAAAATCCATCTGGAGGACAAATCTTCAACTTAAGCCTGGCTAAATGGCTTTAAGTGTGTGATTTTTACAAAAGTTAGTGGTATGATGCCATTACTTCTTTTGTTAAAGTCGGTTAATAAATAAATAGGTTGGTGTTTAATTTTGTTGTTTTTTGAGAAAGTAACCCGCAATTAGCAGAAAAATGTGTATGTAATTTATACAGCTAAAATAAGTACCAAAAACATTTTTGTGTAATTTTCATCAGTAAACCACCGTTTTCCAAGCAGGTATTTCTCAATTAGCTATTTACTACACCACACTCGCCACACATGTGATTGACCGGGGCCTTTCTAACATTAACGCCAAAAATATTTATTCTCGTGCAAAAAAAAAGGTTTTTATGTTGATTAAAACGAACTTCTCTTATTATATTGCTTTGAAGCCATTCCAAGTTTTATAATTAGACGGGGGCGGACACGGCACGAAATCATTTTCGGATAATTAAACCTTTTATTTGAATTATAAAGACACGGGTTTGGCCATCGTTTTTACATGAGTTTGAATGCAATTATTTTTTAGCTTTAGCATTCATTTAAAAAGGTTAATGATAAAATAATGCCAGAGGAGTAAGCACTGGCTATATTTTCAGAATTATGTGACATACGAGGTAACTGCTTCCCAAGATGTAATCTATTATACTAATTATTAAAGAGGTAAAGTGTGTGTTTGTATATTTGTTAAATTGTAAGGGGTAATCTCGGGATCTACTGAACCAATTTTAAAAATTCTTTCACCAATAGAAAGCCACATTATTGCTGAGTGTCATCTATATATATGTTACGGCTAAAGATAGATGTGAACATAAACCTGACCACAGATAACTTTGTCTGAAACAAGACCTGTAAAACATAGTGTATCTTACAGATAAGTTCCTGATATGCTAGCAAACTTGGAGTCGCGGACTATTGTGATACTCACTCGTAACACCAGCATGTTTAGCTTAACTTCCTTCTTTATAAAAAAGGAATTTTCATTTCACAAATAAGCAGTGGATTTGAAAAACATAAAATTCAGCTAACATAAAATCTCACTGACGCTACGTTGCAATTCATAAGTCATTGCAAAGTAGCTCCCTAATTTTAACCGTGACAATAACATTAACTGATGCTTTTTGTATGGAGTTTGACAGATTTTTGACGTTTGTCAAAATTAAATTAAGATGGTGCAACTCAGCTTAAGACTTTCATGAGGTTCTTTTCAAATTCATGTTTGCAAACCCCGTGCTATGAGTGCACGGTAGCCATATTTAAGGGTCAAGTCACAGATCGCTCTGATAAGGCATGTTCCAACGTAAATGTTGGCAAGCCCACCTAGTAGTTACATGTCATATTTATGTAAAAGAAACAACCAAAAAAAGACCTGTATTTTTAAAGAAGTAAATAAATAGTTTCAGCAGTAAAGTTTAGTAGTACTTGTACCGGTTCCTGAAGTAAAGCAAAATAACTTATCATATAAAGTGTGTGTGTGCTACCAGAAGTGTCCTGTAAAATTTATTCAGAAACACTTGCTACTTTTGCTTTTGGACAGTCGCATATTATTATGTGCGTAATACGACTCGCTCTTGACCAATTTTATTTTCTTATTTGCTGTACATTTTGTTATCGAACTGTGCTAAAACACCTCAAGTGTCTACTATGGTATCTACCTTCGTTTAGTAGAGATAAAAGAGGGTGAAAACACGCCTACCTTTCGGTATTACGCGATCACGTACCCGCTGTCGGGTTTTCGCTGCCTAATAATATGGTAATGTTACAACACAAATCTACCTCGACCCCGGTGACAAGATAGATTGGATGCTCCTTTAGTGGCTCCAGTTATAGGGATAGGATGTACTTGAATTGAGTTGCGATAAAAAGTACGAAGATTGTTTAATCTATATCTAAAAGCGAAAGGTCACTGCTTAACTCACTCATCACGAAATCTTAGAAACTACAAGTGCTAGGAATCTCAAATATTGCATATAGGTTCCTTTTAGAACGTATGTGCTCACCAAGAACGGATTTTACGAAACTCCACCCCTAAAGGGATAAAACGGGATCCAAGCGTACGAAGTCGCGGGCGGCCGCTAGTCCACATATAAATTCTATACTATCTATGTCCGGAAAATAACATGTTTATCAATTTCCTAGGAAATTTATAAACTTCAGGATTTTAAACGAGAGATAAAGTGTATTATTTTACGCCCACATCTTCGCTTTGCGGATCTTGTTATTTTCCGGTAACATCTGCAATGGCCTTTTCAGATCACTTATTACACGTCTTAAATATGGCTTGCCCTTAAATACTTGATTTGTAGAAGAAAACAATAATTTATCATGCAGTTGAAGGCGAAATGTAAACTAATGATTGTTATGATTCCTGTAAATATTAATAGATGAAAGATTTTTGATCGGGACACGCACAGGCCCTTAAAACATTATGTGTTAGAAAGCTTACTTAGAGGCCAGCCAGACCGGTCGTTGTAGAAATCAACATTGGACGTTCTTTTGTTGAAACGAACTAGACATAGATCGAAATACAGTCGGGCAATACCGCGCGCATAGGCTATTCTTCTTCTTTTCGTGTCGACAACAAACCTACACAGTGTCAGCCCAAAACTCCGCCACACGAGTGGCGTTGTCAGCAGCACTCATCAAATCCTCCTGAGTGCAGTTGATTCGTGCACTCACGACACGACATCAGGTGCTTCTCGCCGAGATATTCTCACATAGGCTATTTAATGGTATTTATTTACTTGGACAAATCGTTACATTACCAAACTCCCAGCGGGTAAGTATCAAGTAAGTACATCTCGCCACGTGTCCTTAGGCCCGTGACCGGGTCACGTCCGAGACATGTCCGGGTGACCCCCGTGGCCCCCCGTGGCGCCCATACCGCACTGATCCGATTAGTAGCCTATTTAAAAGCCTCTCTTCTCGGTGATGTAATAAGTGTTGTCCAGAAAAACATCCATTCCGATATTTGGGTCATTTTATCACAAGCTTTTACGTGCTTCAGAATCGGAAAGCACGTAATAAATTGATTTCAGCAAATATCATTTGGTATTTCGATTCGTTAAGCCTAGTCAGAAGCCTTAGGGCGCCTTGATAACATCTGATATTACGACTGATGATGATTACCTTAGACGATTATTACACTGCACCGCGCTCCGCCGCGGTCCGCGTGATTACATATAAAAAATCCCGCGTGCAAACGCGTTGTCAGTGTGTTGTGCCGCGCGTGTTTTCTATACAAACTGAGGTACTTGCATACAATGATTAAATCTGTCGTCCCGCGTACCACGGCGGAGAGCGGTGCAGTGTGATAATCGCCTTTTAACTCAATCAAAAATAAATTATAAATTACTGTATTGGATTGAAAATGAGACTGACAAAGGTGATTGAGTTTCTTCCGCCACTTCTTCTCAGCACCAGCCCACATGTTGTCCCGAAGTGGTGGTAGGGCAAGCTATATTTGGGACGTGTATAAGTGCCCTGGAAAGGGCCTATGTACTGAATAAATTATTTCATTTAATTTTAATCCATATTGAACAAGCCCACAGTGAGGTCTATGCCCTACAGTGGGACGTAAATAAGCTTTCCCTTCGTGTAATACCTTTTTGTGCAAAGTTTTCAATTAATCGAAACCCACGTTTTTTTCTGAACAGTTTCCACCATTTTTTATCATACCAAACCTCAAGTAACTATCAAAGTCAAAGTCAAAGTCAAAGTCAAAATTTCTTTATTTGTTTGGACTAATAAATAGTTCTTACAAATCGTCATTTTGCTCTTGGAGCCTCTACATGTCTCATAATCTTTTTACCCTACCAGCGCTTCGAGACCAACATTTGGCAAGTGCTGAGAAGAAGCGCCGCAACAAACTCAGTCACCACTGTCTGCCGGTTAATATAAATAAATAGAAATAGTAGTAGTAGGTACATTCGATTCAGGAGCAGTTCACTGAATTTACCATGCATTCTTGTATGGTGTATCTTATAAGAATGGGTATACAAGATTGCGTGGTATATTAAACAAGGTAGTGACGTGCTAATTTCTAGACTTACATATTAAGATACTAGTAGAAATGACTCGCATACATAAATTTGAATAACTTGGATTGACCAGTCCCCGAAAGCAGCGCCTGTTCACAGACATGACGAGTGAACCAGCCATCGCTTCACTCGACCATATTAGAGGGAATGTAACGACCCGCCTCACTACGCCACCACCCCAGAGACATTTTAGTGAGAATGACAATTCCAAGTTATCTCTTTAAAAAAAAAAATAATAATAAAGCTAAGTAACAGTCCAGATTGAGAAGCATGACACTATAACATTTGAGAAATTATTATTAGTTTATACATTACTTTTCATTTTAATTCTTTTTAGTGCGAGCATGAGAGGACCATAATCCTACTCCCAGGATGACTTATCATTAAGAAAATCTCGAGTTGTATAATAGGCTTTTTTAAGCATGTGATCTTTAACTATATCTTTAAATTTATTATACGGTAGCTCTTTATATTTATCAGGGACTTTGTTATAAAAATGGATACCTTGTCCCATAAAAGTGGCAAACACTTTATTAAGTCTAAAAGCGGGTATAGCCAATTTATTTTTATTTCTAGTGTTAATTTGGTGAATATCACTTTTCTTTTTGAATTCAGTAATATTTTTTTGAATAAATAGAATACAGTTTAAGATGTATTGTGAAGCGGCCGTGAGAATGCCAATTTCTTTAAACAATTCTCTAAGGGATGCTCTTGCTTTCATTTTATACAAGTATCTTATCGCACGTTTTTGCAAAATAAATATTGTTTCAAAATCTGCAGCTTTGCCCCATAGCATGATTCCATATGACATTAGGCTATGAAAGTAGCTAAAGTAGACTAAGCGAGCTGTTGAAACATCGGTTAATGACCGTATCCTTTTTATTGCAAAAGCCGCTGAGCTGAGCTTTCCCGCCAGAGTTTCTATATGGGGGCCCCACTGGAGTTTTGAATCCAGGGTAATTCCCAGAAATACAGTAGAGTCTACCAGATCGATTGCATTATTATTAAGTTCTATTTGTGTACTAACTGTTTTTTACGTTAGGATCAAAACCCAATCTTTATATATTTTATATATTATTTATGTATCTGTATATGTAGCATATTTTATTTTGCCGTTGCTTTGTTTTATTTAATTTTTTTTTGTTATACCGCCAAACTAATTTTTCTGCATAACCCAAAGGTAAACTGGATGACAATGCCTTATGGCATTAAGTTCTTCTAATGTTAATATTTTTGGCATTGAAGTATAAATAAATAAATAAATCTTTGACATTAAATCGAGCTTAATTCAACTTTAAGCTTAGTTTCATACAGTTCAACAGACCTTTATTAATTAAAAAATAACTTTCTGTACTATGAAATCCTATCTAACTTAATTTAAAGAAGAGTTTTAACCAAATTCAGTTAACCCAGATTACTGCGCACTCCGCGGAGATTAAAAACTGTAAACTGCTTTGGAAAAACTTTGGCCAGTCTTCCTGCGGAACTATGCCGTAGCCTGAACGAAACAGCCATCACACAATAAAGCTACTCTTATTAAACTGAGTAAGTTTAGAAGTAAAGAGGCTATACATGCAAACAAATAATTGTCGGCCGTTTGGTGTAGTGGTTCAGAACGGACTACTATGCCGAGAGGACCCGGGTTCGATTCCCGGGCGGGCAGAAATTGAAATGATGAATTTTAATTTCTATGGCAGGTGTGTTTTCTATGTGTAATGTGAATGTATTTACAAAAAAAAGTGTTTAAGTATGTTTATATCCGTTGTCTAGTACCCATAGTACAAGCTTTGCTTAGTTTGGGTCTAGAGGCGCAGTGTAAAATGTTCAAAGATATTTTATTTAAAAAAAATGTGATAGTGGGCGGGGCACATAGTTCGTAGAGCTGATGGCCGCTGGGGCAAAAAAAGTTCTGGAGCGCCACTCCACTCCACGGGCCGGAAGACGTCGCGTGGGCAGGTCGCGGGAAGTACCTGGATGCGGGCAACCCAGGACCGGTCGTTATGGAAATCCTTGAGGGAGGTCTTTGTCCAGCAATGGACGACATTTGGCTGAAATGCACGAAAAACACTTAATATTTTCTCTCGCTACCTAGCAATGAGTGTAGGCTTTGGCATGTACTGGCTGTTACTTTTAACTAGTACCCAGGTTTAACCTCATAATTATGTGTTAATGCAAAACAGGATAACCGGGAAGAATCCAATTTGCTGTAACCAGTCCCCGCGGGAAACTCTTGAGAACTCATTTAGCCAGCTTTAGTTCCACTAAAACATCCATATTTTACGTTGATGTGTAAATATTATTGAATCGTTCAAAATTACAGGAATCGCAAGTTCGTTCGTTCATTTCAGCCGAAAGACGTCCACTGCTGGACAAATGCCTCCCCCAAGGATTTCCAAAAAGACCGGTCCTGCGCCGCTCGCATCCAGGCACCTCCCACGACCTTCACCAAATCGTCGGTCCGCCTAGTGGGAGGCCTGCCCACGTCAAGTAATCAAGTAACTATTACAAATTATATTTTAAACTCATGACTGCTGAGATATAACTAAAACAATTGGGATCATAAATCCTAACACATCTTTTTTTTATGCAAGACAAGGCAGGTATTTGACCGCAATCGCAGCTGATGTTAAGTGAGATGAAGTCTAGGATGGTAGGTACATATCTTTATTTTCTAATCTGAAATGCAGGTTTGTAACAACTGAACTGTGTATTGTACTTGTAAGTAACTACTTACATATTTAGGCTGGGTTACTCCATCTTACTTTAACTTTAACAAACGTCAAAAGTCCAACTCCGGACAAAAACACCGATTATGGTTATGGTCACGGTTAAAATAATGTGGTGCAACTCGGCTTTAATCAGACGATACTAAGCTTACGGTGTGCCCTGCATCTAGCTAAGTATATCATCTTATGCGTTCAGCTTTAGTTCAGTTAAAAAGCACTCTTTCCGCTATTCAGAAGGCTTCAATCTTTGCAGCACCTTTCTAAGGGACTCATTTCGGTCACCCTTATACAGAGGTTACCAACCTGCACTTAGTAAATAGGAAAAATGAAATGAAAAAAGCCTTGATTTGGAATTAAACCCAGAACATTACATCATCATTTCAGCCATAGGACGTCCACTGCTGAACATAGGCCTTACCCCATGATTTCCATATTGGCAAGTTGACAGCGGCCTGTATCCTGCTACCTTTGATAGGTCGTCTGTCCACCTTGTGGGCACAAAAAAATGTAAAATAGCAAGTACAGTCTAGGTTACCTCAGCATACGATTTGGTTTTGGATAGATATAGCTTTTGGATGTACTCGTAACTTCCAAACTATATCCAATATAATAACTCAAAGGTGTCTGACTGACTGACTGACATAGTGATCTATCAACGCACAGCCCAAACCACTGGACGGATCGGGCTGAAATTTGGCATGCAGGTAGATGTTATGACGTAGGCATCCGCTAAGAAAGGATTTTACGAAACTCCATCTCTAAGGGGGTAAAACGGGATCCACGCGTACGAAGTCGCGGGTGGCTGCTAGTCTATATATATAAAAATGAAACCCGTTTCGCGTTGTCACGGCATCACGTGTGAACGGCTGAACCGATTTCGATAATTCTTTTTTTTTAATGTTTGTGGAAGTCCAAGGATGGTTCTTACGGAAAAAAATATTAAGAAAATCTCTACGCTAAGGCGGTACGAAGTTCGCCGGGTCAGCTATTGTTAATATATTTCAGAGCGTTTCATGTGATCTTATTACGTTAATCTAAAAGATTGAGTACCTCTGATCCATCTCAAGCCCTGCTGGGTGATTAGAATGCCCTAAAGGTATTCTTTCTGTTCGCGGGACAAAAGTCTCAAACGTTGTTCTTGGTTATGAATAAAAGATGTGCTTCCGTTTTGAGGATTTCGTTTGTGCCTACTCTGACTTTTGAAGCCCAGTCCATTCGGGAGCATTGAGTTGTAGTCCTATTTCTATGTAGTCACTACGCTACAATTGGATAGTATATAGTCCATTCAGCGTAAGATGGTGATTATGACAGTTCTATTTAGTGAGGCGCTCCTTATAAACCTAATCGATATTTTTTAGAATCGAGAATATTTTCTATAGAAATCTAATCGCCTTTTGTTTGTTTGATTTTTAATCTTGATCAAAATTATATCTATGAATTTGAACTATCTGGAAATGGAATAAACGTGAATATTCTTAGTGGTACAAAATAAATCACAAAGAATTAAATATATGCATTTTATTCAATAAAACATCAAAATAACAATAACAAACAATACGTGGAGAAATCGCATAAAAACTCATTTAGCCAGCTTTAGTTTCACTATAGCATCCATATAATATTTTACATTGATTTGTTACTATTACAGTCAAAACTCATAATCGGTCAAAACCACTTTTGACTGATTTTTGCAGTCAAAAGTAGTTTTGACTGCAACATTACTATTATTGAATCTTTCAAAATTACAGGAATCAAGTAACTATTAAAAATTGTATTTTAAACAGCTAATTGTTGAGATATTTTATAAATAAACTGGAATCATAAATCCTAACACATCTTTATTTTCTAATCTGAAATGCAGGTTTATAAGAACTGAACTGTGTGTATATTGTACTTGTAAGTAAATAAATACTTACATATTTAGGCTGGGTTACTCCATCTTACTATAACTTTTTAACAAACGTCAAAAGTCCAACTCCAGACAAAAAACACCGGTTATGGTTATAATTACGGTTAAAATAAGGTGGTGCAACTTGGTCTTAATCAGACTAATACATTGTTTTTTTTAACCACGATACTAAGCTTATGGCGTGCCCTTCATCTAAAGCCTGATCCGTGAGCACGTAGAATCCCGTCCAATGACCCCAAGCTACCCATCCCTTAGCTAAGTATATCATCTTATGCGTTCAGCTTTAGTTCAGTTCAAAAGCACTCTTTCCGCTATTCAGAAGGCTTCAATCTTTGCAGCACCTTTCTAAGGGACTCATTTCGGTCACCCTTATACAGAGGTTACCAACCTGCACTTAGTAAATAGGAAAAATGAAATGAAAAAAGCCTTGATTTGGAATTAAGCCCAGAACATTACATCATCATTTCAGCCATAGGACGTCCACTGCTGAACACAGGCCTTACCCCATGATTTCCATATTGGCAAGTTGACAGCGGCCTGTATCCTGCTACCTTTGATAGGTCGTCTGTCCACCTTGTGGGCACAAAAAAATGAAAAATAGCAAGTACAGTCTAGGTTACCTCAGCATACGATTTGGTTTTGGATAGATATAGCTTTTGGATGTACTCGTAACTTCCAAACTATATCCAATATAATAACTCAAAGGTGTCTGACTGACTGACTGACATAGTGATCTATCAACGCACAGCCCAAACCACTGGACGGATCGAGCTGAAATTTGGCATGCAGGTAGACGTTATGACGTAGGCCACTAAAAAAGGATTTTACGAAACTCCATCCCTAAGGCCTCAGCCTCGAACTTAGCGGGCAGCGGGGCGGGAGCGGCGGCGGCGCTAGNGTTCGAGGCTGAGGCCTTAGATCCTGCCGCTCCCGCGCCGCCGCCGCCGCCGCCCCGCTGCCCGCTAAGTTCGAGGCTGAGGCCTAAGGGGGTAAAACGGGATCCACGCGTACGAAGTCGCGGGTGGCTGATATATTTCAGAGCGTTTTATGTGATCTTATTACGATAATCTCAAAGATTGAGTATCCCTGATCCATCCAGCCCTGCTGGGTGATTAGAATGCCCTAAAGGTATTCTTTCACTGTTCGCGGGACAAAAGTCTCAAACGTTGTTCTTGGTTATGAATAAAAGATGTGCTTCCGTTTTGAGGATTTCGTTTGTGCCTACACTGACTTTGAAGCCCACTCCATTCGGGAGCATTGAGTTGTAGACCTATTTCTATGTAGTCACTACGCTACAATTGAATAGTATAATTCTAATTCTAAGTATATTCCTTTCATTCGACTCGTTCGTCTTGGATAAGTAAGTGTGCGTTCACTTGAAAAATGTAGCCTAGATGTTACCCGGGGAAGAATAACGAATTGATTGACACTTTATTAAACAAAAACGGAAGAATACATAGTTTAGGAGCTACAGAGGACCATTCGTTCGTTGTTTCAGCCAAATGATGTCCACTACTGGACAAAAACCGTCCTCGACGACCGGTCATTCTCTGTCCCCAATGAGGTACGATAGGAACTTCTTCTTTTCCGTAATCGGTTAAATAAAACACATAATTGAAACCCTAAAACACAATTAGTTTTTAATTAACATTTAAATGTATAATTTAAGATCAATATTACTTTATAGTACCTAGTATCTATAAATAAAGTATCTATAATATGGCCCTTTAGTGATTTCAGAACGAGTTCGGAACTATTCGCAAGCTCTTTTAATTAATTCTGGAGTCCCTAAAGGGAGCGACATAACACCTACCTACTACCTACTTGATTAAAACATTCTTTACAAGATAGGTAAGTGAGTGAGACCCTTTTGGGCCCGGAACTAGCTAAGATTTTATAGCTATACTAGCGGCCGCCCGCGACTTCGTACGCATGGATCCCGTTTTACCCCCTTAGGGGTGGAGTTTCGTAAAATCTTTCTTTCTTAGTGGATGCCTACGTCATAACATCTACATGCATGCCAAATTTCAGCCTGATCCGTCCAGTGGTTTGGGCTGTGCGTCTATATATCACTATGTCAGTCAGTCAGTCAATAACTTTTGAGTTTTATATATGTCACCGGAAAATAACAAGACTCGTAAGTTGATCAATTTTCTAGGTAGTTGATCAACTCTCGGAAAATAATAAACGGCATTTGAAATGTACTATTTAACGTATGTATTTTAGTAAGTTGATTAATTTACGGCGTCTTGCCGTTAAATCATCCGACAAAGGCAAGGTGCACGTTGATTGGTTAAAAGACTCACGTGCTTTTATACCGCTCCCCGCCACCCGGCCGCCGCCATTACCAGTTTAAACGTAAAAGAATCTATCTATTTTCTTTGTTTATAGTAGTAAAATTAGCAATTGTTGTTTTGTGTGGTAATAATTCTCATTATAACCCGTCATTTTATTTATGATAATGAAATGGAGTCTGTAGTGGTAGAAATAAACAAACTTACTTATTATTAATATAACTTAAAATAATAAAACTCTGAGCTCCAATATATATTTTTTAAAATTTTTCATTTATTTAACTGTATAGCATAGACGAACTTTAATATCCCTATCTCTAAAATGTAAATATTAAAACAACATAATCTAAGTGTTTGTAACTCTATGAATAAACACTTGCTAAATGCTTATAATTAATGCTGTCGGCCAATCAGAGAAAAGTGTATTAAGTGACGGATAATAGTGTACCGTCAAATAGTACACTGGGCAACGATTGGCCCATTTGTGGATGATTTTACTTGTAGCAATATAGTTAATTATTAACTTACGGCTAGGTACCGTAAGTTGACCAATTAGCTGAAATTCGATGCGTTAAATAGTACATTTCAACTGCCGTTTGTTATTTTCCGAGAGTTGATCAACTTCCTAGAAAATTGATCAACTTACGAGTCTTGTTATTTTCCGGTGACATATATATTTAGAAGATTAAAACAATTTCCACGTTTTTCCTTCAAATATTGCCTTTCACTTTTATGTTAAAGAACTGTCCTGTTTCTCTGTTATCTGGAAGAGGTCTCTTCCTAACGATAAGACCGCCTAAAATGTCCTGTATTATTTTACTTTTTTATGTGGTGTGCTTTATGGAGTTTTATGTATCTTGAGCTGTGTGCATTTATTTCACCGCATACAAAATAGCGCTGAAAGAGACGCAAATAAAATCAAAATTCAAATCAAAAATCAAAATTATCTTTATTTGTTTAGACCCTCTGAGCGAAGTCGTGAGCGTGTAACTATATTATTTACCTCAATACGTCATCATTGGAATCAATTTGGGAGAGTGCCAACCCTAAATCTCGTGGTTTTTCTCATTAATTAAAATTAATGCAGTGCAAACCCTGGGGACGAGGGTAGGCAAAAGTAGCGAGCCGCGTGCGAAAAGTGCAGGAATTTTCGCTGAAAATACTCATATTTTGTAGGAAATCCTACTATCTAGTTCAAACATTCTAGAACTATATTTCATTCACTATTACGCTAGTTTTTCTTCCTCTGACTGCTTATTTGGTTATAAACTTTCTGAGCTATTCAAATTCATCATTAGCTCATTGCCCCTTCCTCAGCTTTAGAGGTTTCGGTTTCGATTCTCGGTTCTCATTTAGGATCATTAATGTGCAAGTTTTAAGTTAGAACAATATAGAAGTAACTTCTTTCTTTGTAGTATTCAATCGATAAGAAAAATAAGCGAGGCAAACACTACCTACACCCCATTAATATCAGAGTTGGAATTGTGTAAAGCAATCGTAATCATTTGACAGTTCATAACGTACGATAAAGTCAGTTAAACAAAGCGTTTCACAGAATAATCGTACGTTATGAACTGTCAAATGATTACGATTGCTTTACACAATTCTACCTCATCTATATCAAAATGACTAATGTATCAATCGAATTTGAACCTTAGACTTTTGATAAATAGAATGAAATGAAGTTCAAAATCTATTAAAAGAATTCTTCACTTGATGTGCTAACTGTACTCTCTTAAAGTGTTATCTTCAAAGAAAACTTGCCCATACAAAGTCGCCTTTACGACACTGTCAAACGCTTGCAAATAACAATGCACATGCATGCTCAAACAACGTCATTTGCGAGTCTGACTGCAGAAGTACACTTGTGGACACTGGCAAGGGAACAAAACTAAATATTAAGTTTATCCTTCAACATTAAAAAGATTTTAAGAGCCTGCAAATCTGATTTGAAAAATAGTGCAACAAATATTTGTAATTTATTCTGTGGTTATACCAAAAACATTTTTCTTTTATTTTACAGTCAATGGAAGTCCACCGCTGGACGTGAGTCTCAAGAGGCTCATCGAGCAGACTGTACGTTCTACACAACGAATGAAGTAAATAAGGTAAGTAAATAAATAGTTTAATAATTTGATGATATATACTTCAAAATAGCATCTCTCAGAGCTGTGATTGTT